GGGGGGGCATAGAGATGAAAGCCAGAGGGTCAGAGCGGGGCTTTGACTTGAAAGTCAGAGTCAGGGGTCATAGAGACGGAGGCTAGAGGGTCAGAAGTCAGCCAGGAGACAAAGTGTCACAGGAGGGCCGATCTAGGCTAAAGGATCAGCGGGTGGTCGTTGGGAACGATCCAGAAAGGGAGTCTGAGGGGCAGAGGGACATGGCCTGGGAGTGGGCCGTGGAGCCCAGAGGCCAAGGCAGGAGAGCAGAGCACGCAAGGGCACAGAGATGTGGAGTGGGAGGGACCCCAGACTGGGGTCCGTGGCAGCACAGAGTGACAGCACACAGGCCGATGGGTAGGAAGCCAGGTTGCCAGAGGGGAGGAAACCGGGGTCCAGAAAGGCAGGAGCGCACACAGAGCCGAGGGCCAGAGTGACCAAGGACCACGGGGCCCGTCTGTTCCCCACCCTGTCCCTGCCCACCTCACCCAGGCAGTGGGTGCCATCCAGGCTGCTGGCAAAGCCCTGGGCACAGGTACACATGTAGCTCCCGACGGTGTTGATGCAGGCACCCCCAAAGCAGAGGCTGGGGGTACTGACGCACTCGTCTATATCTGCAAAAGCAGAGGCAGTCAGAGCCAGGCCCCGCTGCAGACCCGACCCCTCTGCCTCCCTGGAGGGGAGCCTGGCTGCCCAGCGCAAGAGGAGATCCCAGGCCGTCCTCCACCTTCACACTTAGCGCCACTGTCACTGAGCCGGTGTCCAGCCGGGCAGCGGCACTCAAAGGAGCCCACAGTGTTGATGCAGCGGCCCCCCTGGCACAGGCCTGGGATGGCCTGGCACTCATCCACGTCTGCAGAGACAAAGTCCAGGGAGTGAGAGGCCCGTCGGAGGGAGGAACCAAGGCTTCTGAGGCCCACGACTGACCTTGGCAGGCCCCCGTGTGGATACTGAGGATGAAGCCACGGCGGCAGGGGTGTGGCTGGGGAGGGCACAGCTCGCACGGGAGGCCCCAGGCACGGCCCACGGTGGCACAGCAGAGTGCTTTGCTGCACACGAGTCTGGTCAGCTGGTGCTGGCACCCCTTGGGGCCCACCTGGCTAAGACAGGGCCCCATGCGGTAGTCTGTGGGGCAGACAGACAGAGACAGCTAGCCTCACACCTGGCTTTGTCCCTGACCTTAAGACTATGCATGCTGTCCCCTTCCCAGATAGAATGCCTTCCTTCCTTTCCATACCAAACGAACTCTTATTCACTCTTCAAAACCCCTAATTCCCCCAAAGCACAGCTAGGGTCTCTAGGCCCACAAAGCTCAATGTATGTCTGGACCCCACCCCTAACGAGGGACCTGAGTCCCTGGGTCTCATTTGTGAGCACACACCTGGCTCTGCTGAGTCTCCCAGATTTTGGAGGGCCCTACCATCTGCCCAGGAGTTCTAGGCTCACAACATCACATCCGGAAGTCCAGGGCCCAGCCCAAGGTGGCCCCAGGGGTTCCCCGGATGTGACTCCCCGTCCCCACCCAGCAAATGTTTCCAATAACTGGGATGGCCCTGGTCCAGATCGCCGCAGCCACGCCCACCCCAGGCTCTCTGGGAGGGGGGCAGGGCCCTGGGAGCCACCCTGCCCCCTCCACCCTCTCCTGTTTGGACTCCCCTCCCCCTAGAACTTTCCCTGACACCACTGCGTCACCAACTCACTCCAGGTGACTCGGCCTCCCCCCGTGATGACGACCTGGGGTCAATAAAAGGGAGCTTGCCCTTCCCGGGAGGGAGCCTGTAAGACTCAGCCCGCGGGGGGGGGGGGGGGGGGGCTTCCTCCAGGAAGCCCGCCCTGACCGCTCTCCCGGAGCTCCCAGCTTCCGAACCCTTCTTTCCCACCCTTTTGTAGCGTCCAACCCTCAGGGTCCGGGTTTTGTTTCCAGATCATTCTTCCCAGCCCTCGGACTCCGGCTTCTCCCCAGAGGCTCCAACACAGGGCCTCCCTCAGAGCCAGCGAGTAACAGATGTTTTGGAGACCCGATAAGCAAACGAGGGCGATGTCCTCAGGCTGCCCCGGCGGCAGGAAAGAGGGCAGCTGGACCCTCTGGGGCCGGCCGCATCACATCCCTGCCGCCCCGTCCCCATCTGTACCTCTCTCGCACTGAGGCCCCAGGAAGCCGAACACACAGGCGCAGCGGTTGGGCCCGACGCAGCGGCCCCTGTGGTGGCAGCCAAGATCACAGACAGCTGTGGAGAAGCAGCGGCGGGTGACCGGGGTCCCGCAGCAACAGGAAGCACGGTTGGAACGAGCCATTCCACCCGGGGGTCACACGACTGGGCCAGCCCGAGCGCAGGCACCGGCAGCGCGTGTGCCCCCTCCCTCTCAGGTCACCCAGAGGGACACGGGGCGACCGGAGGGTGGCTGCAGTCACCACCCTCAGTGACACATGGGGCGGCCCGGGTACTCACGCTGCCCACACACGTGGGCTGTGTAGCCCCTCGGGCACAGACAGGTCTCCCCATGGCAGCTGCCCGGGTCACGCTGCACCCCGGCCCTACGACGCGGAGGGACACAGGCCGCACTGCCAGCCCTGCCTTCTCTTAGCCAAGCCCACCCGCTGGCACGCGGAACCCTGAAACCCCATCCCTCTCCTGCTCACCTGGGCTCACCCCGCAGCTGAGGGCCAGCTTACCTCGGCGCAGGTGCACAGGTTGGGCTGGGAGCAGAAGTCCCGCCCGCGGGGGAACCCACAGCCGGGGTGGCAGGGCAGGCAGGACCTGAGTCCCGCGAAAGCCCCACTCCGGGTCCCCTGCAGGCCTGGCGTTGAGGTGGACCCTACGGCACGCGCATCCCCAGATGTGAGAGAGTGCACACACGCACAACCAACACACACACACACGGTCGGGTCACGGAGCTCAAGTCCCCAGCTCCGGGTTCTGCTAGAGCCCAGGAGAGCGGCTTTGGGACGGGGGTGCTGAGCCCCAGGCCAGCGGCGAGAGGGTCGGGGACCTAGACGCAGGGCCAGGGCCTCTCCTAGGAATGGACTCTGATTCCAGAGTCAAAAATGGAGCCCAGAAGCCAGGGAGCAGGGAGCCAGACAGAGAGAGAAACGTGGAGGGACGGAGACCCACAGAGACATGGGCACAGGCCGGGAGTTTCCGGGCCAAGGAAGCTAAGGCCAAGGCAGGGTGAGGCCCAGCGCCCGCCGTGTGCACCCCGCTTCCTGGAGGCGCCGCACTCACGCACGACACACCGGTTCCCGCCGGGCAGCGTCCTCCAGCCGGGGCAGCAGTAGGCGTGGAAGCGGGAGCCACACACGTTGGGCCTTGGGGGCGGGGAGCGTGATGTGACC